ATTATCCTAAAAACCAACAGGTGTTCCTTTTATGAACGCTTTTTAAAAGGGCACCATACCCCATTTTTCGTGGAAGTATTTCCTTCATTGCACCTGTATGTTATGTTTGAAGCCGTTTCCTTTCCCTATTCACCCTATATTTAAAGAGAACAAAGAGTAGTGCAATTCAGAGAAAACTTAAGACACACCTAAGTCCCATTGAAACCACCGGGACTTAAACACATATGGATATGAATGGGATTTAGGCATACCTCGTAAGATTTACAGGACTACACCCAATAGCATTTTCTCATATTCATGCAAGTTAGCTAACCATACCAGTGTAGGAAACAAGCAGCAAGCGGAAAACTAAACAATCCAACAGTACAGTGAAATTCTAAATATACAGGCAGCCGAAGGAGAGATCAGCAGGAAGCAGAATGGCAGGTAACAACAAAGGATGCATTTTAAAGTTCAGTCCTCTTGTGAAAAGAGTTAGGTGCATTTATGGTGCTCTTTGTAACAAACCTTTTTTTATTTCCAAGAGTACAGGTTGTACCGTTGTGAGACAGGTGTGCTGAGTGGAAAAACTGCTGTTGCTATTCATGCAAGATCAGTCTAGCATCCCAGTTATCCTCCTATAAGCAAAATGGGGGCAGCCAGAAAGTCTCATCAACCTTTTCCAGCAAGTTCAAAGGCTCCTTTCTCCTCTTCCGAAATTCAAAACTACAAGGTTTTTCTTTCTTCCTCTTGACACACAAGATGCTCTCAATCTCTCAGATAGAATACGGGTCTCAGCCTCCACCCTGGCAGGTAGGTGTGACCTGCATTCTGAACTGGTCTTCCCTGACGATGAATTAGTATCAGTCGTTAGCAGTCAAGCCAAATCTAAAGGCAGTTTTTAAAATGGCAGTACTCCATGGTCCTACACAGTATTTTTTAAACTCTTTTTTGTTATCGGCATGCATTACTACCCACTTTTAACTTCTTCGATGGTCCATCATTACTCATTTTTTAACTTCTTTGAACATTATGTTGCCATTTCCACTTCTGAAGAATATACACATATATAGCCAGGGATTTTTTTCCCAGCAGGAGCTCAGTTCTGACTTCTCTCAGGTGGACACCATTGCCGTTAAAAGAGAACAAGGGAGGTGTTTATGGTGAGCATATATCACTGCATATAGCAGGAGTTGACACAATAGTCATCTTATGTGTGTAGTAGACTGCCAGAGGCATAAGTAGAGCATCAGACCTAAAACGGATCACATTGCCAGAGATTCTCACGCACTATTTAAACACAATGTTCCCTGTTTTACTGAAGTACTGTACAAATGTTTGAGAGCATATATGATTTTTTTTTCTGAATTAAAAATTGGAAGTATGCTTCATTCTTACACAGCTGGGTAATTTTAGAGGGTGTAGAAGTCAGAATTACCCACCTTGAGTGAAACCAATCTGCAGTTTCCAGATGAGTCACTGATCAGGGGGTACATGGTGATTCGTGGGAGAAAGCTGTAAAGCTCAGTGATGGGATGCCTGCTTGCATACAGAAGTTTCCAGGTATCTCCAAGTTAGGGCTAAGAAAGAAACCAATCTGAAACCCTAGAGACTTCCTGCCTGTAAATGCAAATAAACTGAGCTAGATCAACCAATGGTATAATACAGCTTCTTAGATTCTTGGAAAGCAGCAAACCCACAACAGTGGCTCATGCAGTGACCCTGGACATGGTCTCCACTGAACAGAGGCTATCCTGCTGCATCTCTGCTCAAAGTGATTGACCAAACTAGTGGCACTTGACATAGAGGTCAATTGGAAAGATGCAGTGTCAATGTGAAGATCATACAGAGATGCAACACAATTTCATCCTGTGGCGGTTATTTGGAATCACAGGAGCCTTTGACGTAATCGGATAATGCTAACAGCACACTTGGGGAAGTCCACAAACCAACAATAATAAATGTGGGGGGATCTAAATCCTGAGATTGCACAGAAGACAGGGTGCATAGATATATAATGGTCTTAAGCTAGTTGAACAGTCATTCCTTCTCCTCAACGTACCTGAGCAAAAGTTGCTGCACATAAAATAACGACTCTGAGAAAGAAGATCAGGGCAGGGGAGAGAGCAACCTGGCCCATCTATCAGCCACTCCCTTCTAAAAAGAACACTTATAAGAACGTTGTAATTAAGAAGAAATCCCTGACTTTGCTTTTTCTTTCTTCCATCCTCCCTCCTAATCCTTTTTTCCTTTTGTGCCATTTCTGTTAGGCTGTAACCCTGATGGCAAAGATGCTAATCCTGAAGACAGGGACAACCTCACTGATTGCTGTAAACCAGGGGTAGGGAATAGGATCTGCTTAGCAGGGTGGCTCTTGCAATTCCCCAGTCCCTGTGCACCACTTCAAAAAGTGGGCAGGGCCACCCCACCTGCCCTCTTTCCAGAACCCCCCCGTGGCACCAGGTTGTGGGTGTTTTCCACAGGGTGTATCTAGGTGCAAAAGGTTAGGTCACAATCCACAGCCAAGGTTCAAAGCAGAAAGCGATACCCCGGGTCCAGGGTCAGGGCCCACAGCAGTAAGAGGTAAGTCAGGTCAAGGCAAGACAAGACACAATTCAGGATCAGGGAAATTCAGTACGAAGATCAAGGTGGCTGCCGAAGCTGATGAACAGGCATCGATCCAGCAACTCTTCAGCGGAGACTGTTAACTTTTATACAAGATCTTCTTTGAGCCCCACCATCTGCACAGCTGCCAGTCATCTGGGCTAATAAGGCTCAGGTCTACTCATGAAAAGCAGCCGCCTCACAAGCAGCCTGCTACTGAGGAGAGCCTGGGTCTCAGACAGACACTGCGGTATTTAAAGGTAAAAAGATAAAGGACCCCTGGACAGTTAAGTCCAGTCAAAGGCGACTATGGGGTTGCGGCACTCATCTCGCTTTCAGGCTGAGGGAGCTGGCGTTTGTCCACAGACAGCTTTCTGGGTCATGTGGCCAGCATAACTAAACCGCTTCTGGAGCAATGGGACACCATGACAGAAGCCAGAGCACACAGAAACACCATTTACCTTCCTGCCACAGCAGTATCTATTTATATACTCACACTGGTATGGTTTCGAACTGCTAGGTTGGCAGGAGCTGGGACAAAGCAACGGGAGCTCACCCCGTCGTGCAGATTCGAACTGCTGACCTTGTGATTGGCAAGCCCAAGAGGCTCAGTGGTTTAGACCACAGCTCCATCTCATCCCTTACTGCTGTGTTTAGTCATTACCCCGTCATACAACTTCATGAGCTGGTGCTCTTTAGGTACTCTCATCTCTGCCTCACAGTTCTTGTCTTCCTGAGGAGAGGGTAGGGGATCCCCCCAGTCAGAGAGCCTGGACTCCAGGTCCTCTTCCAAAGAGAACTACTACTACAGCAGCAGCAGCATGATACTGCCCATCCATCACCTGGCTTGCAGAAGTCTTGCTTTGGTTTGAGCAAGGATCACTGGCACTAAGGAACTCCATGGTGCAAGGTATCTCAGCAGGGCTTGCTAAAACCATTGAGCGGTGCTTGCAAGCAAGCCCCTGCAGCGTGAGATCTTTTGCATCTCCAGCTTGAATTCAAACTGGTAACTCAAAGGAAGAATCTGTGCATCCGATTATTAATTGCATCGAAAGGTTGTGCTTTTAAAATGCAGCACCTTTTCCCATTGCTGTGCAGCGAGTGCTCGCTGTTAATCTTCCTTTTTGTCACAGCACGTGGGGGAAAGTGGCCATGGTTTGTCCAAAACGGCTTGGCAAGCCGAATTCGGACCATGGACTTGAGGCCCCCCCCATAAGTGTTCTGCAAGTCTTTTTGGCTGAAGAGCAGAGTTAAAATCATTTAATTTATTTCATTCTCACTATGACTCGCTTCTTATGAAATTTCTTTAAACAATTTAACAATAAAAATATGCATAGATGAAAGGACTAGGTCAATACATATTAATTAGGGGTTAAACAAACAGGCTGATGTTCATCTCCATGACAGCCATCCACACAAGCAGAGAGAAGGTGTTGTGGGCACCCTTGACCTTGACATGCAGTACAAAAGCCAACCTAATCCACTCTGGGGTGCGTGGGTGTGTACCCCTTCAGAGGTTGTCCCCTTTCCACCTTAGGACCAAAAAGTATACGTATGATCATACAGCAGTTTAAAGAAAACTTTCCCCTTTTCTTTCTCATATTCTGTGCTCACAACATACTCATTCTCTCTAGCAGATAAGTGCACAAGCTTGCAATTTTCCCCGTAGTGAGGAACGCTCTTCTCCTAACTTGGCAAAGCTAAAAACTCGCAGAAATGTCATTCTACTACCAGTGGGCTATCTACCGCACTTGTTTCCCTTATAAAACCACCCTGCAAAGGTTAAAATAGTTTGAGGGTGTCATAGGACTAATCATCTAGATGAGCATTCATTTTGGATATCAACAACAAAAGTTTTAAGGCTGTATTTAATACATTTTTGGCAATTATTAAATACTTGTAAACTAAAAAAAAGAGCAAACGTAAGAACAGTCTGTATTCCATTAATCATAAAGTAAATAAGCTAGATGAAGCTGAAAAGCAGTTAATTCAAAGTATTCTTAAAAGAACAGAAGTTCATGTCGATCACTGGAGCAAATAATTACAGAATTGCAAAACACCAAATATACTGTTGTAACTCCCAATGTAACACTTCCTGTGGAGGGAATGAAAGCTGCTTAGCACTGAACGCTAGCTATTTTTCACTAAACATATCCTATAACCAGAATGAAGGTTGCTTTCTGCACTATGGATGCAACAAGCAAAAGTGACGGACCACCTGATGAAACTAAATACAACAGAACAATGTTTGCACCGCTCAGTGTTATTTGCCTGCGTAAACAAGAAATCCATTAACACATTACAAAGTTATCCTACAGTTAAATCAATAGCAGCACTTTCTCTCCAACTGCTTACCTGCATAAGTAAGATTCAGTAAAACATGAAGGGCTACAAGCATTTAGAGACAAATCCCTCACCTTGCCAATCAACTGAGGAGGAATAAAAGCAAAAGGCTGGTACTTTCAAGTTCACAGGAAAGGGTTCCAAAGTACCGTAATGTTGAGTCCATTCAAGTTAAGAGGCACAGCTAAGGCAGCCTTTTCAGAAAGTCAGACGTCATGCTATGCTACTGTGCTGTCTCAAGTGTATGCACAATATTGCCTTGGGCCCTGCAAATGATCCTGGTTTCTGCCTCTGAATGATTTCACAGTCAAAGGAGAAAGCACCACTATGAGTTGCTAGGAAACAGGGAGGGAGTTCCTGACCTGAATTCTTAGAGTAGAGGATGTTGCCCAGGAAGCTTATACAGTCTTCCTAGTTCCTTGGAAATAAAGGATATATATACCCTTGCACATATCCTGAAAAATAATACAGGAGCCTCAAAACGAAATTGCAAACTTAATAACAGGCTTTGTGCAAAGAAAAAACAACAGGTATCATGCAGGGATTTGTTTTGTCAATTCGAAAAAGAACTAAATTAGGGGGAAATTCCACTAGGATTAAATGTTTGCACTTATTTTTTTAACAGTTTTATTGTTTTTGTGTGCCTTTTCCCCTAAATCTGTCATCAGCAACTGCTTTTGATGGAAGGCTAATCTGTGAAAAAGGCCACAACTCCCACTACCCAAAGTTACAGTATTTTTCGCCCCATAGGATGCACCGGCCCATAGGACGCATCAAGTTTTTTTGGGGGGAAATAAAGGGAAAAAAAATTATTTCCCCCCAGGCGCTTGTGGGGCCGGCAGCGGGGAGAAGCACTCTTCTCCCCGCAGCCCGCCTTCAGACCAGGTCCAGGGAACGCGGGAAGACGCGCTGCGCCTCCCAGCTGTCCCCGGAGCTTGCGAGGCCGGCAGCGGGGAGAAGTGCTCTTCTCCCCGCCGCCCGCCTTCAGACCAGGTCCGGGGACAGCGGGGAGACGCGCTGCTGCCACTTCGGGAGACAGCGGGATGGCGGCGTTCCGCCTCCCTCTGTCCCCCGACCTTGTGGGGCTGGCGCCGGGGCTCTCCTGAAGCTGGAGAGCAAGAGGGGTCGGTGCGCACCGACCCCTCTCGCTCTCCAGGCTTTAGCGAAAGCCTGCATTCGCTCCATAGGACGCACACACATTTCCCCTTCATTTTTGGAGGGGGAAAAGTGTGTCCTATAGGGCGAAAAATACGGTACTCGTTAGTACCCAGTGGCATCTCAACAGGGAGGCGTGGGGGGGGCGGTACGCCCTGGGTTCCATGCCTGCGGGGGTCGCAAGAAGTCACCCCGCGGGGGCTCATGGCGGCACGAGCAGCCATCGCGCCACCACAGCTGCCTTGGGAGGATCCTCCGTTAGCGGCTGTAGCCACGAGCAGAGGATCCTGGCGCTAGCAGCAAACCACTAAGTACAGCACATGTGTGGCATCGCACGCATGCACTGTGCATAGCGATGACGCCCATACACCGTTTGCCGCCAGCACCAGGATCCTCTGCTCGCGGCTGTAGCAGCGCCGGAGGGATCCCAGCACCGTCCGTATGGTGCTAGAGTGGCGCTGGCGGCAAACTGCTATACAGCTCATGTGCAACGTTGCTATGTACGGTGCATGCGTCGTATGTAGCGACGCCGCACATGCGCCCTACGTCATGACGCCCGCCCCAGGTGTCACGATGCCTTCCTTCGCCCCTGTTGGTACCCAAATAATTTCAGAAATGTCTCTCCCTCTCTGCCCTTCTCTTGCTTCTGTATTGGCAAGGGCGGGGGGCAGATTTTTACAACAGGGATTTGTACCTGCTGACCCCCATCCTAAACACATTGGCTCATGTATAGCAAACCATTAACTACAGTTTACTGTAATGTCTGAAATTTGCCAATCACACCAGCCACCTACTTTTAGGGAAAGAAATCATGATCAGAAAGTCAAGAACCTTGGGTTATCATTTTGGTGTGTTTGGAGCAAAACAAACCACGATCCCTGGTTTGGATGTAGTATCAGAGTGCACTTATTAACTTTGAACTTGCTCAATTAACTTTTAATTGAACAGATTTAAAAATAAGAGCATTGCAACTAGACCGTCAAACTCACTTGCTTAGAAACAAGTATATATCCTGGAATCTGTGGAATTCAAATGAAGAAAGAACACAAGAAATTCCTTGAAATGATACAGAGACTATACAGTCCATCATCATGGTGCTTCTCTCTCTCTCTCTTACACACACACACACACACACACACACACACTGCTAAAACGACTTCTTCTTTTCATCAATTCTGATGCTTCTGCTTGCACATGAGAATAATGTCTTGACACAACATTATAGAGTGGTACCTCGGGCTACATACGCTTCAGGCATAGGCGCCGACTCCATGGGGCTTGAGGGGGCTGGAGCCCCCTCAAAAAATTTTTTGGGGGGGCTCAGCCCCCCCAATAATCTCGGGCGGGCGCCCTTCCAGCAGAGCGCCGCCGCCGTCCCCCGCCTCCTCCCCACCTGCTCCTTCGCCAGCCAGCCAGCCGCGCGCCCTAATCGGAGAGCCCCGGCTGGAAATCCCGCGAGAACAGGGGAATCCCGACTGGCCACACCTCCCAGCCAGCCAATCGGCTGGCTGGGGGGCGTGGCTTGCCCTATTTAGGGCCGGAGCCACTTTATTTGCATATTCATGAGCTTATTTATTATTCATGAGCTTTCCCGGGCCCCCCCAATATTTTTTCTAAGTCCGCGTCCCTGGCTTCAGGTTACATAGGCTTCAGGTTACAGACTCCACTAACCCAGAAATAGTACCTCGGGTTAAGAACTTTGCTTCAGGATGAGAACAGAAATCATGCTCCAGCGGCGCGGCGGCAGCAGGAGGCCCCATTAGCTAAAGTGGTACTTCAGGTTAAGAATGGACCTCCGGAATGAATTAAGTACTTAACCTGAGGTACCACTGTAATCCTAGTTCTTTCTACGGCCTCAGAAGTTCAGATAGCTGAGCAGAAAACCTTAGTGTTGGAGTCCGATGTGAATTACATTCTTTCAACAAGTGCTAAAGTAATATATTACATAGCACATGTCAGCCCTGAATCCTCAACCGAAGAAAAGTATCATTAAAACTTGGAGCTCCAAAGTGTGAACAAGTAAAACTATGTCAGGCAAGTGAAAAAGCGACATTGAACCAAAACAGACACTTTTACAGGGAAACCCACCCTTTTATTGGCACAGTGAATTGGAACGATACTTCTACAGTAATTAAGATATGACATTACTCACTCACATATCACTAATAAATTATTGAGAAATCTCCTTGGAGTTTGGATCCAGCCATGTGGAGCATTGATTCCCAAGCGATGAAATGTAACCAAGCAACACCGCCATTTTCGCTCTAGCCCATTGTTATTCAGACTTGGAAATAAAGAATAGCCTCTCAATTGCCACAAGAATAGCACTGAAAAGCTGCCAAAGACAAGCTGCCTGATTAAAAGATTCCATCATTCTAGTGCTATAATAGGGAAGATCTTAAACTGAAATTTAATAGAATACACTTCTTCTCACTAAAATGAGAAAAGGGTTCCTCATAAAAGCAGATAATCATGTGTGTTTTTTTACAGACAGAGTAACTGTAATTTATCCAATGCAAACAGTGCAACGTATTGAATTATTCATGGAGATAGTGAGACAGAAATAGGGTTTCTTGATAACTCAATTACTAAGTGTTATGGAGAAAATAATTATACCCATCCTTTCTCACATACTTTCCACAAAAACATAAATTTAGAAGCCACACCTGGGACAGTTTGTTATGATTTATATCCCAGGTTTTTAATCTAAAAGGTACAAAAGTGACTTACAAGAATTTAAAAAAGACACAATATAAAATAATCATACACAAAAAGCCATAATGAAAGCAGAGTTCAAAAATAATATGGTATTGGGAGAAACCCTAGTACAGAGTTCAAATCAGTCTCATGGATGCAAATAAATCTGCAGCGACACAATTATTTTTCCAATGTTTTTCCCCTACTACACCCATTCTTCTATGACATGGCCCTGAAAAATGTCTAAACTATCCTCTGAATTCCATACCAATAGTTCATAAGCAAAATTATATAATACTGTAATGCATTTGCACTGAGACAAAAAGATAAAAACAAATGAGCCCTGGTCTAATTCTCATCCGTGTGGCTGTTTTTTTACATGACAGATTTATTCAGGTCTCATATATTTGCACCCAAAATCTCTGTTCAGATATAGGGCTCAATTAGACTAGATCCTTGCATGCTCAAGTGTAGCAGACAAACTTTCTCCAATCATGAGCTATACAAGAGAAACAATTTTGCATGTGAAAACAGGCCCACATTTCACCAATCAGCAGATAGCATTCGTGGCTTAAAGGGCTATGCTTATGACCTGAAGCCTTGTGCTTCTATGATAATTCTGAAGGCACTTCAGGGGAAAGGTTAAGGGGGGGGGCACTTAGTCCTGGGTAGATGGCGTATATAATTTATTGAGGGATGCAGCTGCTCACCTGGTCAGTATGCATTCCTGTGAATAAGCTCACTTCTTTCACTCCTGAGCCTGAAAGTCTTCAGAAGGGCAAAGCCCCCTCTTACATCTATCAGATTTTTATACTTAATTTGGGGTTCTCCCCCCACCCCGCCAAATGAAGTTTGTCACGCCTTTCTTCCACTGTTTGAAACAGATTGGGCTATTTATCACTGGCGGTGCTTGAAATAAAACGATCATCTTGGGCAAAACATTCATTTTGACTGCGGATATTCTTCCTAACAAAGACAGGTTCATTCTAGTCCATTTTCCAACACCTTTTTTGATTTCGTTCCAGATTTTAATATAGTTATCCCAGAAAATGTTTAAGTTCTTAGCTGATATCCATATCCCCAAATATTTAATTGTTTTCCATTTTAATGCCCGTAATATTATCAAGTCTTTCTTTTGCCTGTGAGTCTAGATTTTTTAGCTATCATTTTTGTTTTTTCCTTATTTATACAGAATGCTGCTAAATTGCCAATTTTTGTTATCGTTTGTATTGTCCTTGGCAGACCCATCTTTACCATTGGGCTTAGTGGTGTGTTGCGCCAGGGCGACAGCCTCTCAGGGGTGCCCCAGCGAGTGAGGGAGCTGTGCAGCTTTGCCAGCGACTTCCCCTTTCCCAGCACACCCGCCAGCTGCGCCTCGTCAACCATATGGCTGGCGGGCACACAGCTTCCCTCCCAAGCCTCTGCGGGGACTGCTTTCCCGCAGCAGCATGGGGGAGAGTTGCCCCCCTCCCCATGGCTGG